ATTGTTCTGGGACTTTATCCTAAATAAACTCACTCACACAGTTAAGGAAATCCAGATTGTTCTGGGACTTTATCCTAAATAAACTCACTCACACAGTTAAGAAAATCCAAACGAGTTTCAAACCCCTGGAACTTTTGATTTATTACGTTCCCACTGACACGATCATTGTAAATCAAAACACCCGGTAGGTGTTCAGATTATAGTTTTTTTTTTGCGCCGTAGATAATATTCCTGTGAATATATCCCACCAATGGTGAGCCGACGCCTACACTATTAGTTTTAGCCACATGTAAAAACCTTTCTTTGAGCCATGCAGGTGGACACTGTTAGATCAGACACGTTTAGACTTATGAGACTTGATCATTTCAGTCAACTCTATGGACTCATTCAAATGCGCATTTTAAATGATCCAGAGAGACTCGCCATGGTACGTGCAAACTTGCCATTGTACGGTAGTAAGGCGAGATTCAGAACTATAATTAGTCAAACGATAAGTCTGGTTGTTCCGAGTTCACAGATGTACACCACACACACATCCAGAGAAAGGCACCTTAGGTACTTTTTATTGTTGCTCTAACCTAGTTCATGAGTCTAATCCCACAATACCTTGTCTCTGGTTAAACATGGGTTAACATGACCTAATTTCAACATACATATCACTACTATCAAACTAGTTCTCTAACCTAGTTCATGAGTCCAATCACACAATACCTTGTCTCAACATACATATCACTCTTTTATCAGCTGTCTCACATAGTTGCATGTTATATGTGAGATTTGTCTGTGGCTCAAACCACTCACCCTGTACTTTTATTTTTTTTTAAAACCAGTGTCCTTGTACAGTTATTAAAGGCAAAATGTGATATTTGCATAACTGTGGTTGCCTCGTTACATTTTGTCAATTCAGGTTTTAAATGTTCCATACTCTCCTCCACTTATGATGATTCGATGTAGTGACCACCCTCTGGCAGCGCTCCTCCTGCAACTGTGCATGGAAAGATTGCAAGGTACACAGGAAAACAAGTTCAAAGCTTCAATTATGTTGGAGATCACTTCTTCTGTGCTCCCCCACATCTTTGGCTGCAAGTTTATTTCTTTTATCAGTATTTTGACCGTTTCTTCTTGAGTCATGACAACTGATGGTATCCAGAACCTTTCTTGGGTAACTGCCAACGAAGCACGTCTCCTCTTTCTCCTTAATTGGCAGTAAAAATCAAACTTCGTTCTCCCCTTTTTTTTTCTCTTTCATCTGGTTTAGCATGTACAGTTCTTATACATGTTACACAGTGGGGTTTCCACACAATTCTAATCTGACATCCTTTAGGTACCACTGGGATGGTTTTCCTGTGGTAGCATGCCAAAAGTCACTTTGCACTCAGATCTTGCTTGCATTTTTTTTTTTCAACCAAAGTGAACACCTGATCCTCCTCCAAGACATGTCCTGGTGTTGCTGATGAGGCGTTGTCCATCTGCAACAAGGCACGTGATGCCCAAACAGCCTGCACTCCCGTCTGACTGGCACCTTGTCACCAGCTTCTCATGTTGTCCTCTGGGCGGTCCCATCCAGTCCGCAAAGATCAATGAAACATCAAGCTGTAGAGGCAAAAAGACGTGACACTGGCCGGGAAGTCGTTTTCGACCCAGGTAAAGAAGAATCACATCAAAATTGCGCATGGCACCGCGCGCGCTGGTCCACACAAGACTTCCCCAATTTAAGTTGCCTGTCACACCTCCTTTATACCTTTCTTCTGACCGGATCGCGTGAGAGCAGTGAAAAACAAGTTTGATGGTTGCCAGGAGGACAGATTTAATTAAATCTGTTTTTCCATCATCAAAGCAGTCTGTGCAACAGAGTGATGGCTTCATAAAAACATGTCCTTCAAAATCTGGGTCACTGTAACCTTAAGATTGGGCCCGGTCTTCTGGTTAGAGCATCCCCCAGAGAACTTTAATTACTCCAAAACACATCTGCAGCACAGGCCTGACTTTAAGCAGATAAGCTGCATCAAAAGTGAGTATAAGTGTGTTTTCAAACTACATGTAAATGAGTGTAAAATAAGTATAAATTGACATAAAAGCATCAAAATAATCATTCCTATATCATTCCACCCTTGCCTTTTATGGCAATTTAGACATTTAATTCTGAAAAGTAACACACACAAAATGTATATGTTTGAATAGGCATAAAGGCAACTTAACACCTTATAAAACATATTTTTATATCATTCCACCCTTTTGCCTTTATGGCATGTAAAACATAATTCCACAATACAACTTTTTAGTTTTGAAAATGCCATCCCTTTAAGTTGAACTCTAAACGATCTCCGACCTCTGAATGGTCGAGTTCTCCTGAAATTGAAATTGTTCTGGGACTTTATCCTAAATAAACTCACTCACACAGTTAAGGAAATCCAGATTGTTCTGGGACTTTATCCTAAATAAACTCACTCACACAGTTAAG